CGGGGGGGTCTTTGGGGAGGGGGCTGCAGCTTGGCCACCGGCCTCTGTCCTGCTTGCAGCCGCTTCTTCCCGGGCCTCGCTGCAGGGAAGCGTGCCGGGGCTCCGGGGGCCTCGGACGGGCTTCCCGCCGGCGGGGCTGCTCCCCTGCAACCGGCGCCCGGCCGGGATCGCCCCGCGGCGCCTGTCCGGAGCTGGACCAGGCTGGGGAGGGGAGGCGAGGTGGGGGGGCGGGCGGCGCGCGCTGCGCCTGCGCGGAGGGGGGGTGGTGGAGGCGGCGCGGAACTCGGCCGGAGGCGCCACGACAGCCCCGCGGCCCCCGCTCGCCCCTCGCCATGCCCGGCGTGCAGCGCATGAAGGTGGCCAACGAGCGGCACAGCAAGAGCATCACGCAGCGCGGCGGCCCCCACCGAGCGCCGGTACGGGGGCGGGGGCCGGGTGGGTGGGATGGCGGGGGGAGGCGGGGCAGGGGCGAACCGGGCGGCCTCCCCCCCCTCTCACGCGCCGCTCTCCCCCCCCTAGAGCCCCCCGGAGGAGAGGGCGCCGGTGGGGCCGTGGCTGCTGGCCCTCTTCGTCTTCGTGGTCTGCGGCTCAGGTAGGCGCTCCCCCCCCCCAGGGCCGCTGGGGTGGCCGGGCCGGGCTCACCTGCAGGGCGGGGGCAGCCAGGGGGCGTCCCGGGCGCTCTGTACGCGGCCAGGAGCCCGGGCGCCCGTCTGCCGAGCAGCGCCCTGGGGAGGAGAGGGGGGCTTGGAAGAGGGGGGGTCCTCCCTACCCGCCCGTGACTCTCCCCTCCCTCCGGCTCTCCCCTGCCAGCCATCTTCCAGATGATCCAGAGCATCCGCCTGGGAGGCTAGCGGCCGATGGAGCGGGGGTCCCGGCACCGGCAGCCCTCAGGGACTCGGGGGGGGGGGGAGAGGCGTTTGCTCGGCCCCCTCGGACACGTTTACAGCCACGAGCGTCTTCCTTTGCTTGCTGCCCCGCACCGGCTCCCTGCCGTCCCCCGCTTCCCGGAGCCTCGGCGGGGTCCCGGGGCCAGGAACCGAAGGAGAGAGGACGGCCCCTGCCCCCCAGCGTGGGATGGGGGAGCCTGCCGGGCACCGGGCTGGGGGGGGGCCTTCCTGAGGAATTGAAGCGGTTTCCTACCAGGAGAAGCCAGGGGACCGGGGGTCTTTGGTGAGCCGGCAGCCAGCGGGGCCGCGGCGTCTGCGTCGGCCGCCGGGACGCCTGGAAGCTTCTTGCTCTCTCTGTGTGTTAAGCCCACCACTCCTTTTTCCCCGGCCGTCTCGCGTGGAGCTGCTGAATAAAAAGTATTACCATCCTGGGCAATTTGCCACAAGCCGAACTAATGTGCAGTTTTGTAAGAAAGCGACATTTTCCTGCCAGTTGCAAGCCTCCCCCCCTCCCCACAAAAGCCCAGCAACTAAGTTTCCTGCCCTCCCAAAGGGGTCCCTCCAACAGAGTCCAGAATCCCTCCGTGGTTTCTGCATCTGACCAAACAGGGTTTATTTATGTCACCAACATGGGTACCCTTCGCAGGTCCTCCCCAACAGCTGGACTGCAGCTGGGTCACTCCCCTCTGGGGTGAGGCAGCTGCCCCCCATTTGTCTCTCAGCTGGGGGTGGGGTGGAACTCCCAGAAGGCTGCTGCCCCGACTAACAACTCCTGCTGTCCAGAGAAGCAGCCTTGAAAGAGAGTTTTAGAGCAGTGTTTCTCAACCTTGACAATTTTAAGGCATGTGGACCTCAACTCCCAGAATTCCACAGCCAGCATTGCTGGCTGTGGAATTCTGGGAGTTGAGGTCCACATGCCTTAAAATTGTCAAGGTTGAGAAACACTGTGACTTAGAGGGACCCTGCTGAGCCAGCCAAGCTGCCAGCCATTTTCCGGTCCAGGAACTCACAAGCCCATCAGCCTCAAAACAACCACTGGAAACTGCTGAAACTGCTCTGGCTGTAAGGAATAGGGAATTATTCTGGAGAGAGAGACGGAAGTTCCTTGAGGATGGGCTCCAGCATCAGAAGCTTGGAAGACTAAACCTCTGATCCCGGTGACTGACTCGGATTGGATCCTGCTACAGTGGGGAATTCTGGGAGTTGGAAGTCCACGAGTCATAAAAGGGCCGAGTTTGAGGACCCCTGTGCCACGTTATCCTGGGACATTTGCAGGATAAGGGTGTGTTGGCAGGCCAGGGGCGAGCTTGTCCTTTCTGTGGCCTCCGAGTTCGAATCCTTGGAGAGCCAAGAAGGGTGAGCATCCCCGAGTGTGCAGGTCCCATCCAAAGTCTCTCGACTGACTTTGGGACGAGGTGGGCAAAGCGTCTCGGTGGGAGTTTTATCTCTGGGGACTGCCCGTGGCTCGCCATTTTAGCCTCCTGGCACTTTTTTTCAAGCTTCCCAGCTTTAAGGCCTGGGTTTTCCTGGTGGTGCCCCATCCAGGTAACAAGCCAGATCTGCGCCTGCTTAGCCTTTTGCAGATGAATCAAGGTTAATCGCGTGCTACAAAGACGGTGACCTAAAGACGCAATAAAGCAGTGTTTCTCAACCTTGACCATTTTAAGGCATGTGGACTTCAACTCCCAGAATTCCACAGCCAGCTATAGCTGGCTGTGGAATTCTGGGAGTTGAAGTCCACATGCCTTAAAATTGTCAAGGTTGAGAAACACTGCAATAAAGGAAGCAGACTTTCCTACTTCCCAAGGTTGCAACGGGGAGGAGAGCAGGGAGGGAAGTTTGCAAAGCGCAAAAAATCCCAAAATTGAAAATAGCCCAGGAAGTCCCGCCTCCCTCCACGTGGACAGGAAGCGGCGACCCCGGGCTGACGGGACCCGCCAATGACACCTCGGGGGGTCGGGGAGATGACTCTAATTTTCCTAGCTCTCCGCTCGTCGTTTTGGCGGGCTAGTCCACTCTCAATTGCCGCTCTAGCCTTTTCTCGCCTCTATGGCGAAACGCCCTTGGCCCGAACGTTCCCCGGAAGTAGAGCTCCGGGGCCTAGAGCGTCCTTCATAGCCATTCGCGCTCCTCCCGGCTTCATCCCTCCTCCAATTTGGCCCACGTGGCTGCGGATGATGGGAACTGCGCTCCCAAGCGTCCCGCGGGATAAGAACCGAGAGGCGTTTGAAAATGCCCCTCGCGGATAAGAACTAACGCTCGGCCCCGCCTCCCTCTGGCGGGACTTCCGGCGCGTTGGAAGGCGGGGCAGGAAGTGCTGGAGGCGGGGCCGGAAGTGCGTCCTCCAGACGCAGCGGGCTTCCGGCGAGGTGACCGCGCCGCCGAGGCCGCGTTTTGGAGCCCGCCGCGCCGCCCCTGCTCGCCGGTGAGGAGCGCGCCCGCCTCGCCCCGCCCCCCTCC